AAGGCCGTGTAATTAATACTTGGGCTGATATCATTAACCGTGCTAACCTTGGTATGGAAGTTATGCATGAACGTAATGCTCATAACTTCCCTCTAGACCTAGCTTCTATCGAAGTTCCATCTACAAATGGATAAGACCCGATCTTAGTGTATAGGAGTTATTGAAAAAAAAAAAAAAAAAAAAAGGAGCAAAAAGAGAAAAACAAGCATGCAATCATTTTCATAATGACAATATTAAATTTTTTCATATGGAAAAGAATTTCTACAATAAAGTGAATAATCCCTTGTTTGAATTAGATTTAGAGGGCAAAACTACTCAGTCCTGATATTCAACTGTTTAGTGATTGAAACTATTATTAGGAACGAATTGCATTGAAACCATTATGATTAGGACAGAATTAAGCTAAAAAACAGAAGTTTGAGGATAAAAATGTCAAGAATCCTACAAACGTCACAAAATATTCAAAGATGCAGATGACAAATGCAATTTAAAATAGCTAAGGAAACATGAGAGAATACTTTTAACCTTTTAGCATCAACACAGAATAAAAAATTTCACTTAGTTAAGGTGCTACAAACTCGAAAAGTTGAGTACTTTATTCTCAAGAAAATGGTGGTTGAGCACTCATTTGTACAAAGTTAATATGTTAGGGAGCTTGTTAATAACAATACGTCCTTGGTTGTTTAATCTTGACATTGACAATAAGTCATTAAAATGGAAGGCAGTTATGATGCAAATGATATGGATGTTTTGGTTGGGCGAGTGAATGATATTATTATGTTGGTATGTTAGAGTTCAGAAAAATTTTAGTTGGTTAAATGAAGCCTTATAATCAAAGTTTAGTTACTTTTGCCTTGGTAATGGGTCCAGTGCCTAGCTGGCACTTATCATCGGCGCACGTCACGTCTTGAGTCTAATAAGGAGTTTGGGATGGGATGTGTCTTTCAAAAACCACAGTACTTAAAATTAATAAGATAAAATGTCACAATAAATCCTTAAGTTTTAAAACCACAATCCATATAAACCAACAAAAGAAAACTATTGAGAAAAAAAAAAAAAAGAAGTTATTTTCTGTACTACTTAAAAGCAGATGTACACAGCCTAGAAAAATGCAAGCATCCAGAGGATCATGCCAATATGGAACCTGCACACAGAAGAAAGAATTACGATCTTGTCTATTATAAATGTAGCGTCTTATTTAGTATTATGTATCAAATATATCAATATTGAATAAAATTTAATTACCAGGTGCCTATTTGAGATGTCTTAGCACTAGCCGATGGTGCAGCTGGTGGCGTTGGACCTGGTAATGGCTTTGGGGTGGGTGGAGGAGGAGGAGGAGGAGGAGGAGATGGTGGTGGTGCCGCAATCGTTCCTGTATAACATTACCGGAACCGATTAATTATAAAAAATTAATCTGAATGGTTCAAAGAAAAGCTAAAGTAGATAAATTTAGATAGAGTGCCACCACTAACCACAAAACATGAGATTTTCTGGGGGTGATCTCTCTTTTTGAGGATTGGGATCAGGATCATAAACTCTAACATACAGTTCTTGTCCTAAATACCAATGCTTTAGATTTTGTGACCTTAAATTCCACATTCCAGGGTTGTCTAGGTAGACATAAACTGCACTCCATCCTCCTGGGTACACCTGTTTTCATCGGACGTGCTAAGAATTATAAACTGAATATAATCGAGACAGAATACTTAAAAAGTAATACATCTATAAAGAAAAAGACATATTTAAGAAATATTTTACACTAATTCACCTGAACAGTGGAGCGAACAACTGGATCATAAACGTTGTACGTAGAACGCAATGCCGGTGTCCATTCTCCTATTCCATACCTACGAATGATCACAGATAAAATATATACATAACGTGTTTATATCATGGATAGAACTAAATTAAAGAGGTGATAAGTCGAGCTGATCTAAATTCCACAATGCTATATTTATGTAGTCGAATCGATATAACAGAACAGAATTAATACTTACCCAACAACGAAAAATCCAAATCCATCCAAATGCCAAGAGTCAATGGAATTCAAATCATTCTCTAACACAATCTCCAGCCAATTCTTGTGGGCCCCCGTTACAACAAATGTTCCACGAACCGGTGCTTTAAGGCTAGAGTGAATAGGAAAGGCATCGAGTTTGTAAACATCGGTGCCATTATTGTAGTAATCAGCCAATTTCAATGGAGTTGTTGGAGTATCATAGGACACATTGTTGACAGTGAAACGAGGAATTCCATCTATTTTAGCAAATGATTCACGAAGAACAAATGTCTCTGATGGAGTAACGTTCGATACATTGAAGGACCCTTGTGGGTTCGGCCTCGCAGCACCTGTCGTCAAGTTCCATCTAATCGAGCATAACAAATGTTGTCAGTTGTTCAAATCAAGTTAAAAACATAAGTTGTATTTCATTACAAGTTATTCACTAAATTACAGTAGTGTATTTAACCCGATCTCAATCATGACTCGTTTACCTGATGGATTTAGCTTGATCGATGGAGAAATAAAGATCAAATGGATCAGGCCCAACTGGTAACGGCCCGTTAGCAGGCTTGTTGGAGTTTTCGTAATGTAAGATCCCAACAGCAGAAATAGATGTTTGATTAATCAAATTAACCCATTTAGGGCTGGCCACTATATAATAATCAGCTGGGTTTTGATCTGCTGTGACGAGGACAGAGTAGGACTGGCCCACATGAATATCAAGAGAATCTTCTGTGATCTGATTGGTGTATGATCCTTCCGTCTCAACAACTACCATTTTATGATTCTGAATCCTGAAATTCATGCTCCATACATTGCCGATGTTCGAAACCCTAAAACGGTACGTTTTTCCTACAAAATACCCGAAATCAAATTTACGATAAATAGAAATGTTTAGTACTATATCTGAACATGTCTAGTACTGTGTACTAACGTATGCTAAAATTAAAATTCCAATTACAAAATAGAGAATTACGAACTTCTTACCATATCAAAGAATTACAAACTTCTTACCTTGCGATACGGTGAAGTTTTCATGGGCTTTTGCAAGTGGGTCCAAGAATGAGCCTTTCCCATTCATCAGCATCAAATGAGGCTGTATATGGTATGCAACTTTCCTAACATCCTATTATTTTGGCCCAAAAATAGACAATACACAAATGAAAAAGAAAAAAAAAACGTGCTTTTACTTATCAGTGGTGTTAAACGAGTCAAATTCAACCTTCCAACGAAGGAAGGTAGAAACGGCTCGAAAATCAACACATCTCGGCTTTGTTTCATACTAACCGAGTCCGAAATCACGATATAATGACAATTTTATGCATGAATTACTACCTTATAACTCTGTTGATACCAATCGCCAATAAGAAAATCAAACTCTGCTTCAGGCTGGGGAAATGGAACTTTAATGACAATCCGATTGTTAACTCGTAGTGGGCCAAAGCCACCGCCAGCCCGTTGGAAATTTATTGAAGGGGAGTAGAAGAAGCTACCAATTTGGTCCTTCACTTGGAAAACATAAGTCCAATTTTTACCGGGCTGGATCGGACAATTTGTACCCGAAACTCCGTCTTGCCAAGAATTCAGTCTTTGTTGAATACCATTCCTGCACCAATATTATGTTCTATTAGACCTTATTGGTAAACTAAATTTTACACCCAAACAATATCAAAAATTATCTGAATCGACTCAATTTAACTTTTGAACAACTATATTACAAAAACGTGTTAACGTTAATCCACGTATATTTAACTATTTATAGAGAAAATTATCTAAAATCATGTTTTTTAATTTCATTAATCAGACATTAACTTCTTTTTTTTCGAAAACAGGTGATAACATGAACGTATATACTTAGATAACAATTAGATATCATAAATGATCAGTCACACGTATCGTAGACATAGAAATTCTTATGTCACGTGTAATAATTTTTTGGGTATAAAAATTACAGTAAAATAAATTAAGGCACAATTAACACTAAAATAAACTAACTAATCACAATCAAACATAATATTACGTTACAATCACATAATGTATAGGTTAAAATCATTTATTAGCATAGATCATAATCAGAAACCATCTAATTTTTGATATTTTTTAATAAATTTATTAATTTTAAAATTTTATTTTAAAACTATTTTTTCTTATTTATTATATTACACGCGCACATTACGTACGAAATCATTCACCTCAAATTTTATTATAGGCTTTGAAAAATACGTAATTAAAAGGAGAGACAAGTTTAACGTTGTTTTCGATTCTTCCGCGGAGAATGTTGCCTAATGATCCCAAATAACAAGTCTCCCAAGGCTATTTATTTATTTATTTTTATTTTTATTTTTTCATTCTCATGCAATTTGAGGACATAAAAATATTAAATTATAACAAATTTGTTGAGAGCACAAACAATAATAGCATCTTTAACTTCTGTTCTAACAGATTAATGATCGAAAACACTGAAATAAAAATAGAAAATGAATAAGCTTACCAAGTCATGAGCAATGGCTCATCCATGACATTGTAAACATTGACATGAATATTATCGTTGGTCGTTGCATTGATAAGCGGTCCAGGAAACATATCGTTGATGGTAATAACCTAGTAAAATAAATAAAATACTCATTAATCAATTATAAATTTGAAAAGAAACAAAAAAAAAAAAAAAAAAAACTCCCAAAATTGTATGTACCGGTTGATCTCGTGATACAGGGTTGATGTTTGTGTTAATCGCAACATGCCACTCTTGAAAAATCTCCGCTCCATTAACAACCGTGAAGAGTAGTGTACTTACGCAAAGAATTAACCACCGTTCCTCCATGTTCTCACGTAGGAGAGTTTCGTATTTTGGAATATTAGCCTTCTTCTCAACAAGTAATGATCTGCGGAGTAACAACTGAAACCCTTTTTGTAAATACTAATAGAAGTTGGAAAAGTTTCAAGAGAATAAGTAGAAGAAGAATTGAGAAGGGCCTAAAACGCCCAAGATTTTGTTGAGAGGGAGAATTTTAGTTCAAGACAAAAACCTAAATTAATTAGTTTTCTTGTAAATGTAATCCTAAGAACAATGAATTTGTTTTACGTAGTACAACTGTAAATGTTTATATAAGAATGAAATTGTTGACTAACTTAAGGTCAAAATGAGTTCTAATTTAAATAAATTAGAATGCACGTAATTTTTGTTAAAAAAATAAAATAAATAATAATAAATAAATATTATTATTATTTAAGATTAAAGGAATAAATTACATGAATTTATAGGTTTCATTAAATTTTATAATCTAAAACCGATTTAAGCTGAAATTAATTTACTCATAAATTTATATGAATGCGACTGCGTGTTCAAAAATTGATATATTGTTGATCTTACTTAGTTGTGTGCCAAAATAATTTCTTGTGCATTTTCAATGAAGAAATTATTTTCACATTGGAATTGACACTGTTAATTTAATCAATTTGTCAAAATTATTTCAAGGTTTGTTATATAGTAAGTAGTAGTTCATTTAATAACTATTTCGCACATAGGAGATACAATTAACAAAAAAAAAAAAAAATTGTTTTAAAAGAAAATGACAATAGTATTTGCTAAGGGGTGTAAGCGTTCAGTTTTACCGATTTTTAACAGATTTTTCAAACTAAACCGTTTAAATCGATTTAAAAAACACCCAAACCTAAACCAAACCATTTTGAACGGTTTGAAAAAAACTCAAACCTAAACCTAAATCTAAACCTAACGGTTTTGTCCGATTTTAAACCATCGATTTCGCAATATTTTTTTGCCTGTCTACATTTATGTCACTAATTCATTGAATTCAATATATATTTATATCTTATTAGCAATAAATCTAAAACAAACTAAGTCCCTGTTTGAACCAAATTTTTGAGATAAAAAAATGAAAATTTTGATCGTTATTCCACAAGTCCAGCCGCCTTTGTTGATCTGCTGTTTCATGTGTAGGACCCAGTCTCCTCTCCAATGGTTAATTTTTCTATTATGATGATATGAAAAATATGGTTCAAACTGGGCTAAATATATCTACTATAAATTTAAATATCAACTAAATCAAAGTGAAATCACAATAAATTAAAATATAGTTTTTTTCATTTTTGTTCACCTTTTTTTAGGCTAATGACGATATAATAATGTTACAATACAAGTCTACTAAACTAGATATAAGGCCCAAAAAACATAATGATGTTCAACAAGATCTCGTGATCATCATATCTAAAAAAATGATACTGATTAGACAAAGAAAACAACAAATCACAATAATAAAGCAATTGTTTATAATAACTAAACATAATAATTTCACAAGTTTACGTTTGTCTAATGTTATCAAACGCATTTAATTTTAGATTCTTACCTCAGTCTGCTCCATAAAATTATTGATTTGAAACTTTATTCGTAGCAAATATTATCGTCGAAAGTCTAGGATCTCTTTTGTCTCCGATTTGGTATAATGGATTTCAATTCAATTTTGAAGAGATGTGAAAAATCTAAAAAAAAAAATGGGTGGTGCCAGTGGCTCAGGACTGTGTTGGGTGTCAGCTGGAGTTCATCTAAATTCTGAAGAGAAAAATGACTTTTGATAAATTATGATAAGTGTGTTTTTGCACACTTATTTAGGTCACAAACATGACTTAATTACGAGTAAAATGATTGAATTGTGACTTAATTTCGTTACATTTGTGAATTATAGAAAACACCGATGAACATGGTGAAATTCAAGAGAAAAGACACGAAAAATACTAAAATGACGCAAGGTGAAAGTTCAGGGACCAAGGTGCAATTATCCAAAAGTTGACCCGATGAACAAATCAAGAAATTGATTGAGCCAAATGCCAATTGATGATATCTTGGGATGATGGAATGGAAAGAATGAAGAAAAGATGCCAAGAAGTGAAAGATTCAAGTAGAGGGACCAAATTGGAGAAAATGAAAGTTAGAGTCTACCATGCGGCCGCATGGTAGAACTCTCGTGCGGTCGCACGAACGAGTGCAGAGAATTCTGGAGACAGCATGGCATAACCATGCGGCCGCACGGATTAAAGCCATGCGGTCGCATGGTAGGTTTCCGACGCAAAAAATTTACTTTCCTTGTACGATTGAAACTCTTTTGGTAACCTAATTTTCACGTGATATAAATGCCAAAAGACGTCTAGAAAGAGAAGAGGTAATTGGAGGCAGAAAAACACTTCTTGGAGAGGATTTTGAGCGCAAAAACGAAGATTGGCATGAAGAGTTTCAAGATTTTTTCAAGATTTCATAACCCGGTGATGCCTTTTATTCAAAACCTAATGTATTTTGTTATTTTAACTATGTTAGGCTAGATTCTCATGTGCTGGGAGATCGATGTACCATGTAGTTAGATATTTAATTTTCTAATTTTGCAATTTGACATTAAGACATATCTCTATTATTTTGAATGATTTATATGCAATTATTGTTTCCGCAATTAGGGGCCCGTAATTGTGTGAGTTTGGGTGATTTATTCTTGCATTCGAGAGAATTGGAATAGATTCAACATAATATAAATCATCGTAGGGTCCGATAGGGAATAGAAATATACCGCTATGCCCTATGTGAATCTTTAAGTGTTCATAAAATTGCATGCATTTTTACACATGCACTTGTCATAAAAATATAGGCCTGTGGTATGTAGAAATAGGTTCAATACATCTCGAGAGAGAGTATTGGATATACTTAAGAACATTGATTCGTCAACAATTGAAGTGTGTTGTCATATTGTGAAACTAAGGTTTAAAGTGATAATTGCATGGAAAATCGTGATCCTAGTGTGTTTAATTTCTATTGATTACAATAACGTGCGTTCTCAACATTTGATTTCATTCTAGAGTGTTAAAATATTACTTTGCATATTAATTTCAATTTAATCATAAAATTCGTATAATTAGGGTTTCTTTCCAAAATTAGGGTTTAATTAGGTCTACATTCACTTTGATAATTTAATTTCAGTTAAAGCTACGATAGATAAAATTTGAAATAATCAATCTCCGTGGGATGATATTCGGACTCATTTAATCCACTTTATTACTTGTTAACGAACAGTACACTAGCAGTAGTTTTAAATCGAAAGAAAATATTTCATGAACAAGTTTTTGGCGTCGTTGCCGGGAATTGAGTTTAGTTTAATTTTATTCTTCTAGGCACTAATTCGAACTTCAATTTTTATTTTGCTAGTATAATTTTATTTTTATTTCTATTTTAGGTGATTATCCTTTATTTGTGTTTTAACTATTTAAATTGTTTGAATCTCAGTGCTCGTACTGGTTTTGTCTTTCAGATTTGCATGCCACGATCGACTGGAGGAGAATTAATTCCAGCTGATCCTGAAATCGAGTGCATCTTTCATCGACTACAAAGAGATCACCGAGAAGCATAGGTACAAATGGCTAACGAACTGAACAATCTCATTATTCAAGCTAATGAAGGAGAGGCAATGGACGAAGGAAACAAGATTTTGGGAGATTTCTTGACTTCTCAAGTAATTCAAAGTTAATCCAGCATAGTGTATCCACCGTTTGGGCAGCCAAATTTCCAGTTGAAGACAAATGTGATACAATTATTTCAAAATGGACATCAGTTCTATGGTAAGGCCAAGGAGAATCCACATACACACATATCTCGATTTTTGGATATGTGTCAACATTTCAGATACCCAGGGATTTCGGACGACGCTATTAGGCTAAGGCTGTTTCTACACACACTATGAGACAGAGCACTTGAATGGTTGGATTCACTTCCGGTTGCAAGTAGTACTACATGGAACGAGTTGGCACACAAATTCCGCACAAAGTTTTTCTCACCAGCCAAGATAGCAAATCTGAGACATGACATATCAGTATGTAGTCAAGGAGAAACCAAATCCCGACCCGACCATTCCTTCCTAAGGAATGGAGTCAGGGTCGTACCTTTCCTCCCTGGCCCGCAATTCCACTTTTTGAAACCTTCATGCCTTTCTGGAGACACCCGCTTTTTGGGCTCACGGGAGAGCTTCATGGTCGGTAGCTCAGAGTGAGGAAGATATCGTTCGTGCGCCCCACCCAGGGCTCACTCTCTTCCCTGTTAGCTCTCTGTTCTTAGTACAAGATTGATATAAGCTATCGATCGCATTCATGGTGTATGGAATCAAGGTCAACAAAATGAATCTATCTAATAGGAGCTTAGTTCTATTCAACATCCATCAAGGCGAGGGAAATGACTCCGGTCACCGGGGTAGGATATAGTCAGTGTCAGTGTGCCGCGGCTGGCTTCTCTCTTTTGGCTGTCGATTGCATGCAGTTTGACCGTTCACCTATTCGGTTTATTTAGACGAAGCTTGGAACAGATTCAAGAACATGCTGCGGAAGTGCCCTCAACATGGGTTTGACAAAAAGACCCAAATCTAATTCTTCTACACAGGGTTACTTCCATACCACAAGAGCATGGTGGATTCAGCGTCAGATGGCTCAATATCCACACGAAGAGTTGATGGGGCATTGGAATTATTTGAGAGAATGGCTACCACATCAGCCATGTGGTCTTCTGAGAGGGTGGTTCCAAGAAAAACTCCGAGTGCCTACGAGGTGGATACTTATTCAGCAATATCTATAAAAATTGACTCTCTGTATCACAAGGTGGAAAGCATATCACAAGCGAAGAAGAGCAATTGTGAGGAATGTAGTGCTGAGCATAAAACATCGGAGTGCTCAATACTCATGCAAGGAATTGAGCAAGCAGACTATGCACATTGGGGACAACGCCAACAACACAATCAATATGGAGAAACTTTCAATCCCAGTTGGAAGAAGCATCCCAACTTCTCTTGGAGCCAAAATCAAAATAAGCCACATGGGCAATTTCAACAACAAGAAAAGAGGCCTCAGTTGGAAGATATGACAGGAAAATTCATAGAGAAAGCCGAAGC